TCATTGCTTTTTTCCATGCAGTAACAAGGAAGGATCTCATCTTCCTTAGAAATGGCCCTACTCTCACCAGACCTTATTTCAAGGTCCGTGGTACCCTGGAGGAGCAGTATCCCCTCCATCACAAAACCGGATGAAGACACCAGTCTTCAGGTTCCGCACCTGTTCCAGCGTGGCCACCAGGGGGCAAAGTTGTCACAAACGGATGCGTTTGATTTCAGCCCATTCGTTGGATTCACCCAACAAGAAAGATGAGGTCAGGGCTCGGTGGGGCTGGTCCCAGAAGCCAGAGCAAAGAACAGCCTGTTCGGGAATAAAACTGTAGGATTTGCATGTGCCATGACTGCTGCAGACACAGCTTGCCACTACAGAAGTTGCAACAGAGGACTCATACAAGGTATCCTTTATTCCTGTGGTATGTCTATGCACAAAAGTTATTTAATAATTTTTATATTTTATATGGAAGGTTGAGCTCTGTGAAAAAAAACACATATATCAGTCTGATTCTAGCAGATCCTAGTGGGTGAAATAGATATTTAGAATGAAAAGAGAAGAAAAAAAAAAAGGCAAGAGGAAAAATGCAAAAACACTAGAACAAGGAAGCTGACACTAACATTACTCAGTTGTAGCTGACTGATATGTGACAATCATTTCCTGAACAGGGCGTGATGCAACATTCTTTTTCATTATTTTGAACTCAAGGCCTTGTGTGCGCTTGGAAATTTACTAAAATAGGTATTCTAAAAGAGCAATTTCCTAAATGGGTCTCCAGCAATGACACGCTGGCGTTGTAGATAAACAAGGAACAAACTGGCCCTGCACATTTTGGAGTGGGCAGCAATATGAAAATACCACCATCAGTACTATGACAGGTACGTTTACTTCTTTAAAACTGCACCCACGGCAGAAGCTTATCCAAAATGGTCAGATGTGCTGACATAATTTGGCAGAAACAGGTGACAGTTTCAGCTGTGGCAGAAGCTTATCCAAAATGGTCAGAAGTGCTGACATAATTTGGATTTCCACAACACATGGCAGAAACAGGTGACAGTTTCAGCTGGAGGGTCAAATAGTTTAAATAATTCTCCTTCTCCACCTCAAGCTTAAGAAATACCATCTTTGTGCTGCTGCTATATCCTGTACATATTCTACAGAGAGAGGAACAAAGTCTCCAGTGGTCCTAACTTGGCGTTATACACTGTTTCTTTGTGTGACTTTATCTTATGCAGGAAGTCAAAATACTTACCCAGGCACATCAAAAGAAAGAAAACAAGCAGAGTATACAATCTCAAAAGAAAGCTCTCAAGTTTGGAATTCACTTTCTCTGTAATAATTCAACAGCACATGCATTACTGACCTTCAGAACACACTGCAAAAACACAGCTGTTTATATAACCTTTGCACGATGAGGAACATGCTTTGCTTAATCCTGTAGTGGCATCGAATGAAGTCAACTATATTTTGATCCTTTTTTTTTCTTAAGGTTACCTTACCCTGGAAAAGTTTATGAGTAAATAAGAAAACTGAATCAAAACTTCATGATGCAAAGGAATCTAAAGCAGAACAGTATACAGGCAAAAACAGTCATCATTTTAAGACAAGCTTCTACATATGTTGGCACATTCTCAATTAGAATAATTTGAAGGCATAAAGTTGCTGTAGGTTTTCTAGTTTCTATTATAGTGTAGCTTAGACTTAATCATGACAAGCTCTGACTAAAAGGTTAAGAATTTTAGATTGGGAAACATTCTTTTTTATTATTATTGTGAAGCCAAGGCCTTGTATGCACCAGGAAATTTACTAAAATAGGTATTCTAAAATACCTGTGTCAATCAGTTCCTCTTTATAGGAGGGTGGAAGGAAGCCTTGGAAAGAAACAGTGAGTAATGTTAGCCCTCAGACTTCCTAGAACACTTGGGGTTTTGGCATAGAGAAAAGATCGCAGAAAGATGTTGCAAGATGCAGAACACGCACATTCAGACACAAAATGGTTTAAAGAGAATTTGAAAAACCCTGAAGAAAGTGAGTAGGCTAAATGTTGACTTTCTGCCCGCAAGCTCAGAGAATCCCAACCCCCTCCTCACAATAGGAGAGAAAGGCCAGCTTCGGTTTAGGGGGGGGTAAATCTCCCTTAGCTCTTCAAACAGTCCGTGTGGGAAGGCTCGCAAAGGAAGCCGCTCAGAACAGGGAGCTAAGTCTACCTCAGCAGAGATGAGTGTCTCCTTTTTTAACTTTAAAGGAGTATTATGAGACTGGCCTTGCTGTGCTTTGTGAATGGCTCTGTTTCCTCCTCCCTCTGTTCCCTAAAAACTCTTCAACAATTTCTCTTTGAGGAGCCTTGCATGCTATTAGTGGCTACAAACACTTATGTCATGTTGTTTAATACCAGATATTATTCAAAACTATAAATGCTGCAGAGCTATCCTGTTTCCTTGACTATACCAATTTATATTGAACACTCTTTATTCTTGCAAATGCACAAATGCTTTTATGAGAAAACTAAAACAGGTTTCCCACCATGATAAAAACCTCTTCCAATTAACACAAAATAATAAACCATTTTCCACAGATCTGCAACCTGAATTTAGCTAATGATTTCCATGAAAATGCTAGTTAAAGTTGTGCTTCAATTAATTAGTACAATAATGTAATATTAACTTACTTTTTTTCTGCAATGTTACATGGAATTAGATTACATTACAGCTTCATTATCAAAATTATATCTTTAATAATTTTGTAATAAATCTGCAGGGCTTTATCAACAGATTCATTTGATTGTAACTTTTCGTCTTTTGGAGAGCTATACTTTAGTAGTTTAGGCTTTGGTCCTCACTAATATCCATGTTGGCAGATTCTATCCAGAGGTATAAATCAATTATCCTTGCATATGGATCTGATTGCAAGATCAGGACCGTGGACATCAGTTGTGTAACGCACACTTCCCTTTCAAGTATCAAATTAAATTAGGTCTAAATAAAACTAAGCTGATGAAATTATATATGTGTATTTAAAACTGTAATTCAGCAAGATATTTAATTACAATTTAGGTTACTTAAGAAGTTTGCCATTTTTTCTCAGGACCCATGTTGCTATTTAATATAGTCTGTTATTTGAATATTATTCACTATATTCTTCATTCTAATAATTGCATTGATGTTGATATATAACTGTTTAAAGTTCTTAGATTGTGCATATATTTTCTTCTTTGATATATAGAGTATTATTTACTTAGTTACAATTTTACAAATATTACATAGCATTTAAACATTTAAAATTTAGACTCCGAGTCCTCTATTGCGTATTGTCAGTGCTTCCTAGAACAGCATTTAATGGCTTTGGCCTTTGATTTTAAACCATGTCCGCTTGTCACAGCAGGAAGGGATGTTTTAAAGAACAGGAAAAATTAATCTAAGAATTTGACCTCAACGAATTGAATCCTGCAAGCCGTTACTGAATACTACTTCAAAAACATCAGAATCTGAGTTACGCTATTACTTTTGGCCGTCTTAGGAGCCCTAAGTAGCTAACAAAACCATACAACTTACATCAATGTAGGAAAATCAGTCTGACTTTCAAATCTGACCTAAGCTCCTCTATGTTGGAAAAAAGACATTTAAATTTAAGCAAAATCAGTAGAATGCACAAAAAAACCACATGTGCCAAAGCGCAATATATATAACCTCTTCCAATACAGAACTATTTCAGGAGAAAATTATGTCTTTCGAGGGAATATATCCAATGGTCTTTGTCTGTGAGTCCAGCTCCTTCTTGCTGACCAGACATGTGGTACCTCCAGCTGGATCATAACTTGAAAAAGAGAGACAAGGCTTACCTCAGAGGGATCTGACTCCCACTGAGAATTTGCAGTGTCCTCTCAAACTGACTGTTTTTATGTTTTCTTCAGCTAAGTCTGCTAGAAGGGACCTAATTTGTACTAGATAATCAATGGATGTTCCATGTTCAGTAAAGAAAATTAATTATTTTTCTCTCTCTGGGAAGAAAGTTCACAGTAGAAACCAATTATATTTAGGAGCTGAATCTGTTCCCTTTGATGTCTGTGTGTAAACAGCACTGGTGGAAAGAGAATTCAGCTTTAGGTTCTTATAATCCTCTTACATCTCTGCAGTAGCTGAGAAATAAAGGAAACAAAGTGAAGTGTAGCAAAGAACCACAACAATGAAAATCAGATAATGTCACCTACTAGGTAATAATTTTTTTCTTGTACAACGTAACAGGCTATGAGTAATGCATGCTACGAATGAAAACAGTGGGAAGAAAGCATGGAAGAAGTCCGTTTCTATTCAGTTTTTGCAGGCTTAAAGCATGCACTGCATATTTTGTAATAAAAGATTCCTCAAAACGATGGCATTCATAACCCTTATTCTTTGATAGACAAAGTAATCTTTCTTGGCACGAACTTTCTTCTCCATCCATCAAACAGCAATCAAATTAAAGGAACATCCCCATAGTCTTGAGTAAGTCACTAAGCCTGTGACTTAAACCCTCTCACCTTCACTGTTTTTTGCTATCTTCTTCTCTTTTAAAGTTAGTACATGAAAAAGATTTCAGTCATTTAAAAAAATTATTTTACATTTAAAATTCTCTTTGGGTCTCTGTTACACTCTCTTAGGACAGGATGTTGATGAATTTTTCCAAACCATGCAAAAAGAGTATTTACATCATATAGAGCAAATATGGAGTTTGTAAAACAGTGACAGAAAGATAAAGGGCGCAAATTATTTTCCATCTGATTTGCTAACCAAACTTAACAAAAAGCCTCTGTTTCCCTAGCAGTGCTCTCCCCAGGACAGCCTGCCAACGTGAGAGCCCTATCTGTGAACTGTTTGGGGGAGTCAAAAGAAACCTCATTAAGGACGTTTCTCTCCTTTTACCTGAGGCTGTGTTTGTTTTAGGTAAGTCTTCTTTGGGAGTTAAGATAAAGGAGGGGCTGAAAGGTTCAGGCAAGCGCCCAGCCTGCCACAGGCTTTAGACCATCAAATGTCATGGAGGGTGCAGCTGCGGGTCTCTCGCACCAGGCTGACGCAGTCCCCGTCTGCCATCACTCCCGGGGCGCCCGGCGGCAGCAGCGACACCCGCCCCAGCCGAGGGAGCCCCCAGAGAGGTAAGGCAGGCACAGGGAGACCTTTTTTCAGCAGCCTTCCTTTCAAAACTCCCAACTGTAAGTATCATTCGAATGTAACGATTTTGGCATTGGATAGACAACGGAAAACAATTTCCAACTTCAGAAGTAAAGGGCAAAATATGTTTCTGAAAACTTTTCACTTGGAACAGGTATTTTATTTGTTTTGCAGATATTTTATCCTTTTCAGTCAAATACTTCAGTACTTACTTATAAATGGAAGTAAATGAAAATTATGGTTGCGATAACTGATTTATTGTGTTTTTTTTAATTTATTTACCTTTCGTATCTGAAAGCACTCTTCCATTTCCCAAACTGTATGGATCTGTTACACAGCAGCAGAGATGGAAAGTACTGTTAGAGAGTATCCATAACTGTAGTCGTCCCCCCTCCCCAAACAAAAGGCAGATGTAGCATCCACCACTGCATATGGTCTCTTAAGCTAATTAGATCAGATTGCCCATGTCAGTTTAATGCTGGAGTTGCTTACTCAATGACAACATGGAGTCTATATTTAGGCATGCTGTCAGGGAGGGAGGCTTACTTTTTATTTTGTAGCAGTGCTGCATAAATAAAAAGATTTTAGTATTAATTACATCATCATTTGGAGTTCAGTGCAGTCACTCTGAGTTGTGAAATCTTAAAGGGAAATGACACAGCTGAAAATGTGCGAGCTATTGTCTAGTTTGCTTAATCAGATTGTAGACAGAAGACAGACTAATATTGCCACAGAAATCAGATTTACCAAATCAAAATGTGCTAAAAAGAAAAAAATCATGTTATTTCAAAAGATACCAGCAGAATCTAATAAAAGGAGCTGTACTGTATGGAAATTACCCCAAAGAATTAACTATGGGAGCGCTATTCTATCTCAATCTTTCAGCAGCCCTGCTTTATGGAGGCCCTGGATGCTCAGAGCAAGAGACGGTGAGATGACAGAGAATCAACAAATGGTGAGACTAAATTCTGGAGAAAATAATCCTTATAGAAAACAGCTGCAGAAATTGAAACTATTTGAACACAGGAAGTGAAGTTTGGTCATCTATTTGTTTGTTCTTTCAAGCATTTCTTTAGTGTTAGAAAATACGATTCAAATTAGTGTTCTTTTCATGATAATAGTTAAGAGTATCCCTAATTTGGTTTCAGATATAGAATCATTATCAGTTCTTAAATAGCTGCAGAAAGCACTGCTTACTCAAAACAACCCATATTTTAACAGCAGTTTTTATTTGCTTAATTACAAAAATAAGAATATCCTCAATTTGAAATTTCCAGGCCTAGTATCTATGTGACATTTTTTATACAGGGGGAGTTTGAGTGAAAATGACTTCAAGATGAAATCTAAAAAACATATTTTCAGGTGCACAATTTTATTGATTGTTTTTTGGGGAGGGAAGTTGCTATAGCTAAACCAACTAGGAAATCAACCAAAAATTGGATTTTAATTCAGCTCTTACTGCCAAGTGCCTTTGAAAGGTGGCACGATTATCAGTTTTAATTACTCACGTAGAAAGATTTGTTAGGCTCAAAGAACAAACATAGAGAGATTAAAGTACATCCAACATAGGTCCAGATGCTGCAAACTTTAAAAAATTTATTGAAATGGTGCTACTCTCACATGTAGTTTTAATCACCTGCATAAGTTTTTGCAGCATCTGATCCACAGTGGCATCTTCAACTTTTTACCAAAGGCTCAGCAGGTTAAGATAACAACTCTCCTTAGCGCAAACCTTTAAAGACTCACAATTGCTACTATATTCTAATACATGCAACACCTTCTTACCTTGTACTTTTTGTCTACTGAAGATGGGGGTTGCAAGTGTACAGATCTGAGGGAGTGCCACACTCCTCCCAGCAGGCACCTTGGAAAAGCCTGTGGAAGGAAGGCTTTGCCAGAGGCATGTGTAAATTTCCTAAGGAGGACAGGAGTCTTATTCCCATAAGAATACATGCTTACTGTGGTGATTTCAAGAAACTAAGGTTTCTGCAATCAGGAACTTGTGATTTAATACTGAGGTTATGTTTTTGTAAAAAAAAAATATTATTCAACCAGCTCAAAAGTTCTAATTCACACTTGGGCTTCTGCCCACTTGTGTGAGAAAAACAAACCACATATGAAGTTTTCCACATTGATGCTAACAGCCTGGCATTGTTTCAAGCCAAGTATAATTGAAACAGTTGGTTTCAATTTTTTAACATTTCTCCTTGCTGCCCGAAGCTTCTCAGATCCTTCTCATACATACCTTATGACCCACCCACTGCTTCAGCATCCTAGATGCCTCTGTAGCTTGGGACTTAATGAGGGCTGAAGGAGGGCTTTAGGAGCCCTTTCATATGCTTTTTAACAGGGTCACAATGACCAAGGAAAGATGCTTGGATACTTTGTGTGGTGCATAGGTGGGAAGAGGTGCTCACTAATGCATACCTACATCCCACAGCTGTGGAAGGCAAGAGGTATCTTCTTCAGCAAAGTTACTGAGGTTCCTAGCAGAAGGCCTTCCTGTTTTTGCTAATTAGTTGCATGCTGGCTACTTTTATTTTCTTCAATGTACACATACAAATGCCAATGCTTTACAGATTGGTGGACACTCCAAACACTGGAGAGTGAAATAAATAGAAGTTTCAATATCCTCTGTGTAATTAAAAAAAATGTTTAAGAATACACATATAAGAATCTAACCTGAGAAACTGAAATATGCAGAGCAAAGCACTAAAAAAGAAAAGTACTGGTAAAAAATTTAAACTAATAATTTTACATCTATTGCCAAGAACCTGTGTTGCAATATATCCTACAGTTACCTATACATAATATACTTTTCCTTATATAAAAAGTAACACTTTTCCTACTATCTAAATTCAAATATGTTGTTATTTATGACCGAAGAAAAGCCATGAAGAGTAATTCAAAGTTACTATTGCCATATCTACAACATAATACAAATTAACACTGAACATTTTCAGCTGTATACAAACAACTGAGTCAGATTTTGCAATTAATTGGCTTTTATCAGAATTGCTTTTCAGAAATGCTGTATTATAGTCTGAAAAGAAAAATCACATAATGTGTGTTTAATCAATACATATTATTACATATATAATAAAACAAAGTATTCCAAAAAGAAGACAGGTCAATAAAGATAAAAAAGACTATTTTAATGTTAATGTAAATATGAAAGGAGAAAAATAACATGGTATTTAACACAGATCTTATGATCTCATCTACACTGTTCAGCCAGATCAGGAGTCCATTTCAGTAGGTACTGTGGAAACAAAGTAAATGAGTCTCCTGATTAAACACAAAAAAACCTCAACAAAATCCTAGCAGCCTGAAGACAAATCATTCTGGCTACAAGACAAACAGGTGGGTACAAGAGAAACAGGCGGGTACAAGAGAAACAGGCCAACATAAAAGGTACAGGGAGAGTTCTATAGAACCCCTTGCTCAGTCCATAGCCCAAAGGCTTTTTGGGGCCCACCAAAATATCCATGCTGAAACCTACTTCCTCAGAAAGACAGATGAATTGCTCTGACAGTGGCAAAAGTCATCTTTGTCTGTTTGTAGCAGAGAACATGGTTTCTAGTTTCTGGTCACTAGGAGCTCTAGTATAGCAAAGCTAAATCTTCCTATTTTATGCACCATCAAGTTTGTAGCAATAGGAGGAAAAAAGAAGTCTTCTTGTTTTAAGATATGGAACAGAATACATGCTTACAAGATGAAGTGATAGGGCTCAGTGATTTTGGGGGATGCTTTCAGGTTTATATTTGAGGTTTATAATCCTACTATGATTCAGTAACGTTAACATTTGCAAATTTCTGGTAGGTTTTATTGACCTTAATTTGAAGGAATTTATTCTGTGCTACGGAATTTATTCTGTGCTAAATTTAATTTTTATATTTAAAATACATTTTTGCTACCTCCTCTGTTATATCAAAAATACGTACTTTTTTATCATGGTTTGTACAGAAATATGAGATGCCAGTAGTATCTTGATTTTACTGTTTGGACTCTCAACATGGTTGTGTGATCTTTGATTACAATTAAGCTCGCTGACTTGAACATTCCAACTCCAAACTACTGGTTAGTGTAGTTGAAGTATTTTATAAAACCCTAAACTCCCAGTCCTTTAAACTGATTGAAAATCCTTTTTTCTTCCCATCACTGAACTTCCATTTGGCGGTGTTACTGGCCCACCAGTTGCTATAGGTATTCCAGCTGTACAGCTTCATGGCTTTACGGCTCGTAAAATGTACAAGTTCAAATGCTTTGTTAAATGTGCAACTATTGGCAGACTGTGGGCACGTATATTCTCTGAAGTACATTTAGTCAGAGTAAAACATCATGCAGCACAGCAAAAAAAGCAGTATCACTGTAGGATTTTACAGTTACCTGTAGAATTAAAAAGTGAAATCTTCATTTTTAGCCTATTCTAAATAATAAATATGCCTCTCTACAGCCAGAACCAGATGCTCAACTAAAAAATTTTAGATCAAAAGGAGCCCTGGGGTTTCAACATCCAGTGAGGTGAGTTAAATCCTATCACTTGATACACAAAAAGTGACATCTTCTAAGACACGACATATTCCTTCCGAGGAGAAGTATCAGTTTGTCTCTGGAGTATCTCTTTTTAGTAATGCAGTTTAGCTATTCATCAGACTCCATGGATTTTTATCCCTCCACAAGGAAAGAAGCCCAGGCTGAACAGAACCCGAAATAATGAAAATAAGAAAAAAGTAATCTTAAAAGATGTTCTGCCTCATCTAATTTATATTTACATTTATTAATATGATAACAAGCCCACCCACAGAGCCCAAATAATTAATGTGAATAGCTGCTAACGGAATATGACTAGTTACAGATCTGTATCTTCAGATTGCTTAAACTTGCTCTTGAATAAATGTTGAATGCCAGGTAAAGCTTTTCCTATGCTTGGGGGATTTATAAGGGTTTTCACCAACATTTGGATTGTTTAAAGCTTAATGATGTAGAAACTCCTGATTTGGACTTTTGTTTAGAGGAGGAAAATTAATGGAATATCTCTCTTCTTTACAAGCACTTGTTTTTATAAAAGTTGTAGAAGCTTAAATTCTGCATGACCTTTATCACTGTCAAATTTAATTGAAAACTGGACAAAGTGGAACCAAGAGGAAGACATGTACATAAATATGCACACAAAAACACGTATGTATACAGACCACATAAGTTTTGCTTTAGTGGGAAAGCTGGTGAAAACCTGAAATGTAAATTAAGATATTTGTGATTTCAATACAAAACAATATGAATTTTGAAATAAATCTGTCCCAGTGTACACCTCCTCCTCCACCTGGAGACACAAAATCCACTAAGGTCAACCTCTGTGCAACAGGCAATCCATGCCAATCTTAACCTTGTGTCTTAATCTTAATTCCAGAATCCCAGAACATTCCTCAATCTTCTACCCAGTTGCATGGGACACTTCCATTCTAAACTGTGCTAAAAACCAAACCAAACCATCTCAAGCACGCATCATTGCCCTGCCAACACTTCATCAGGGTGTGACCTTAGATAAATCCAATACACAATATGCCCAAAGCTACTGAGGTAACTTAAAATCAACAGTACGTTTTAGTTAGCAACTTTTACTTAAAAAGACAAGGAACTGTAGGATTTTTCCCTCCCCAAAGAAAGATAAAAATAGGTTTTAATACTCAAGCTAGCTTAGCTGGGAAAGTGTCGCATAGTTTTACTTTTTCTCTTAAAATATGTTTTCTTATTAGACTTTATTTGCCCAAGTCCAAATCCCAAAAGTTTCTTAACAACATCAGAGAGAAGGTTTTGGCGAGTTTTCCAGTACAAGCTACAATTCACTTCTACAATGATGACGCCGACTCTGAGGAAGATGAAGAAATCAGTTCAGCCTAATAATGAACAGTGGTCAGCCTTGACAAGTGCAAAATAAAAATTAAAAAATCAAGGGATAAAAAAAGAACTGTCAGAAATGTATGGACAAACATCTGACTGATCAAAGAAATACATCAAAGCTCGAAAGAAAACTATTTATAACTATCTTACCAAGAAGAATGAGTCAATGCAACTGGAAACTAAGAGGAAATCCTTTTGTGTTTTGAGAGACTTTTAAATAAAACCCTGAAGCTGAGCAAAAGATTATAAAGTTTAAATCAAGTTGTACTTGTACTTAGTTGCTCACTATTTTTTACATTGCAGTCCTGATAAAATGAAAATAGTATTAATTATGAGGCAAAATAATATAATGTACAGCCCCAAAGTAATGCAAAGGCTTTGAAACACAGTGTTTGAATTTGAGCAAGAAATTTTTTAAAATGCAAAGACTATTGCTTATTAGCTCCAAGGGCAAGTTTATTCTGATATAAACGCTGTATGCCAAATTGACCTAATCCATTTCCAGTATAACTCCCTGTCAAGACAAGTTCTGAATGACAGTCAGGATATTTTCTGGGGTCCTGTCATCCTGTTATTATTGGATTTCCCCCCTGTAATTAGAAAAGTGCCTTTTTGTCAGTCAAAAAAAAGTCAGCCTCGATTAAAAGCTATGATTTAATTTAATGACACATTACAACATGTATTATGTGCTACCTTTTTTTCTTCACCAGAATATTAAAATCTTATTTCTATGGCTTAGTCTGCTTGAATCTATGATTTTAATATAACTGACTTACTGTTGATTCCCATTTAGTCGGGTTTGGATATGTATCTTACGACCTTGATATTTCTTTTAAATTGATATTCGGGAAGATTTAAGTTACTAATTTTCATAAGCATCTTCATGTTATGTACAATGTAGATTCATTTATTCCAACACAGCTTTTACATTTCACTCATTTGTCATCTCCACATCTTAACTTCCCAAGATGTGGAACCAAAATACAGGTCTTGGAGGTCTTTCTTTAAAGGTCTTTCACTTCTCTCACAAAATATCGTAAAATTATTTATGCTCCAGCTTCATCATCATTCAGTCTGTAGCACAAACAAACAGAAAAGCATTCAAGATCACTTAACAGGTTGGCAATGACATATTCCCTACAATGATCAAATTATTGTACATTAAGCCTCAACTTCTTCCTTGCAAGAAGCTCTAGTATCTGTCAATGCTCAGCTGAGTTCACTCTCAACATTTGGAGTTCTGCCTTCACCGTCGAGTCCTGAGCAGGCTTTTCCTCACCTTTTAAGACACCTCTGTGTGCATCTGTGCTGCCTTTTTCTCTGTGCTATGCCACAAACCACCCTAGTTACTGCTGAATTGCTTAGTCCCTCATTGAGGATTACTGGAATCTGGAGGGATATGTTGAGGGAACCACCTCCATCCCCTATGAAAACAGTGGTTACCACACAATCCCCACAGAGCACAGTGCTCCCTAATACACACACTACACTGAAGAGCCATTTGCCTTACACAGATATTGTCACCACGTAAGGATCCATTATGCAAAAGGAACACTCTGTAGGTTCTTCCTTGCTAATCTTTACCTTTCTATTGAGACCATGCTGCCTCTTACACCTTCTCTACCTGCCCTGCAGATGCCCAGCAGTGGGCTGTGGTTACTCTTTAGAAAAGCATCTGATGAGACCAGTGCTTGCTTGTGGACACAGATGTCCAGCAAGAGCTGGTGTTACTATTGTTGCAGGATAGCAACAAGGAACTAATATCTGTGGGACCACATGACATAAATGGAGGTCAGCTTCAGTTGCAACCGAGACTGATCTTCCTGCATTAAAGAGAGGTTTTGAGCTGGAAGGATTGGCATCAACTGGTGGGACTATGTGTTGAGGCTGAGGATTGCTTATTAACTCCAGAAAGAAATCTCCAAGCTCTATCTAAATACACAGTATGATCAGCAGAAGTTACCCTGTTTTCAGAAAGACAGAGCCTTTGAAGAACTATGCCTGGAGTTAATACCCAATCTTCAGCATCAACAAATCATCCTCCAGACACTCACTCCACTTGTGCAGAGCTTTGCTATCCTGTCCTGTACTCTCACCAGCTGGTGGTCAACCAGTCTGAAGTGGCAAGTAGCTCACCAAGATCTGTGAAAAAGCCTCCTGGACTTTCTGGCAGCAGCGTGCTGGAACACCGCCAGGTTCTAAGTCGATTTTTGGTTGGTGAAGTCTACTGAATATCTTGAGAAATGGAAAGCATTGGTTTCAGTGTACTAACTATTTTTCAGGAGTGTTGGTGAGTAGAAGCTTCAGATGGGGTAACTAGTAAAACAACACAAGGGAACAGATACAGTGTAGGAAGTGGCCATGCATACTAACAGAACTACCACATCAATGCTAGATGAGACATCTTAGTCCAAGTTTCCTGCAACATGTCCAGCCAGAATCTGAATGTTTTGAACTTGTCCAGAATTTCCAGACCTACAGCAAACCAAGTGGGACAGTAGCTCCATTAAAAATGTTCCTAGGCAAAAAAGACATACAGTTTTAGACAAATGCTTTGGAAATCCCAATCAAGTGACTTCCGAAAAAATGCAGATCGACTACCCAGAATGCGAGTCATGAGTCTGCTTTATCCTAGAATACTATATTCATACTTGACATGAATGCAATAAAGAGGGGGGGGGAGGATGATGAAGTATATAGATTACACAAACAACAAAACATCAGAACTTTTCAGCCTGGGAGACATGATTGAGGATATAAATGTAGTCTTTAACATCTTGAGCAGCCTGGAAATGACAGAGAATGATTGAACATCAAATGAAAATAGTGAGCAGAGAGTTTAAAGCAAAAGGAAGCACTTAATCCAACTTGTGATTACACTGTGACGTTGTTGAAACTAAGAGTTTACCTACTTAAAAAAAGTAAATGAAAAATTTTCATAAAAAAATACAAAGATAGAACATGTGGCTTGGAAGTTTCACATTGTTGCAGGCTGGGGAAGCATTCTGGGGAAACATTACTAGCTTCTTTCCCTCGTCTTTGCTCTTACTTTTATGGCAGGCACCATTAGCCAGTGTTAGAGGCAAGATATTAACTATATTTATCTTGGTCTCCCACGAAACAGCCTTTCTAATGTTTGTAAACGGGCTACATCCTGGATGCATCAGATCACAGAATGGTCAGGGTTGGAAGGGACCTCTGGAGAGCATCTAGTCCAACCCCCCCGCCAGAGCAGAGTCACCTACAGCAGGTTGCACAGGATGGCATCCAGGCGGGTTTTGAATGTCTCCAGAGTGGGAGACTCCACAACCTCTCTGGGCAGCCTGTTCCAGTGCTCCACTACCCTCAAAGTAAAGAAGTTCCTCCTCATGTTAAGATGGAACTTCCTATGTTGTGCCCGTGAAGATGTAGATTTAATGACATAAGCAAGTGTTGTTCCAAATCCACATCTCTGAAATAGGAAAAAAAAAATCTTGAGATGTGTTTAAAGACAGCAGAACAGACAGCATTATCAGAAAAACGCAATTGAATAATGGATGACAGTTTTAGCAAAGGCTTTTAGAAATATCAAACCAAATCATCTTGCACATATGCTGAGGTCTGACAACATTGTATTGGCCTAACCTGATTCAATTTCTCAGTCTCTGCTACACATTCTGTTTGGTTTCCTCTGTATTGTCAAATTCCATTTTCAAATTAAGGTACTATTACTGTACTATTTACCTAATTGGCAATATTTAACTATAGTCATTAGAGGAAGCCAAAACTGTATTATCCTTTTCCTGTCAAGACAGCATTTCTTTTTTTTGTTGAATAACTGACTGCCTTTTCATGTTACAATGTCAATATACCTTTATTTGCACACTTAAATAAAATATGCATTGCGATCCCTCACCACTTTGTTAATAATTAAGAGAAGACTAAAAGTGAACTAATATCTCCGTTATTCAACTGCAGTTAACTTTCAGTTTTCAGTTCTGGTTTGTTACTTCATTTGCAGTTTGACCTTGTGAAGTTTTCAGTGACCTTAGAATCATCCATCGTTTACAGGAAGACGATAACAAAGCATCCCCAAAGAATGAGTTTGTCATGAGCTTACTACTTCAAAGACAAGACTAGAAACAGCATTTTACAGATTAAATTGTTGGCTTAGGATCTCTGTTCCACAGAACTTCCCTTAGTAGTTCAACAGCTGTAACATTTCCAGCAAATGCTACCTTTTGATTTCCATTGTCTAAAATTATGATCATAAAGACAAGTTAATATTCCACTGGCACATGAATGCTGGAGAGTTATCTAAACAACATCTACAATTTTATATTTCTACTGTGTATAGTCACATCAAAAATCAAAATTAAAGTATGTTCATAAAACAGTCTCAAATTCTACTTCTAAGATATTTTAAGACAAGTTCTTGACAGATACATATATCCAAGAGAAGCATATCCTCGCATGACATTAAGTTTGTTGAGTGTTCTTTCTAAATGTGATGCAGTAATAATTTGGATTAAGAGAAAAAGAACTACCATAGGAACAATTTTTTTTATTAAGCTACATTTATACTGAGAGAATGACAGCAGTAGCTGGACTAAATTGCCCCAACTGAGAAAAGGCAATCTTCACAATAGTGGTTTTATGAGTGCTAGAGACAAAATCCATCCAATTCACTGAAATGTCTACCATTTAATTACACTCCATATAATCATGATTTCCAGACTGGATTAATCTATCAGCTGCTTTTAGCAAAAGGCTGAGAATTAAGTTGATACATAAACTGCACAGCATACCAACAAAATTTACTTTGGCAATCTCTCTGTAAGGAAACTGGCAGAACAAAACTAAAAGCTTCCAAAACTTTCTCCTCAGAATACGGTTCAATTCATCAGGAGAGGGAGAGATACAAAAAAACCCATTCATCTAAGTTGTTTTAGAGCTGACTGGAAATCTAACAGTGCAGCGGCAAGCAGGACTTTGCATTAAACATTTTAGCCACCCAGACT